TAGATGGCATTGGCATGATAGATCCATGCACCTATAACAGTGAGATATGACACTTTTGGACCAAATACTTCTTTATTTTCTTTATTTTTTTTTTAATTCAAATGGATCCTTAAGTGGATCAAGTGAATTTATGATAATTGGGTACATAGCGAATATGATTATTCAGAAAAAATAAATTTTCATACCATTTTGGAATAATTTGTTTAGCAGATGAAGATCCCATATTTCAAGTGCTCAATTTGCAAACCAAGATAGAATTCTGTTTTATATATATATATATATAAAATTATCTCAAATTCTTTTATTCCAATGGAGCACTCCAAGAGTTTCATCTCACTTGAGATCATCGACATGTATGGCGATAATTACAAATTTTGACTTATAGTTATTTATGAAAACACATGGACAAATAAAGTTATTTATATAACTTTTTGGTAAGATTTCACTAAGCCAGTTATTCCATATTTGGCCTTATTGCTTGAGATCATCGACATATATGACAATGATTACAAATTTTGACCTATATTTATTTATAAAAACACATGGATAAATAAAGTTATTTATATAAGTTTCTTTGTTAAGCTTTCACTGAGACAGTTATCCCATATTTGGCCTTACTGCTTAAGCCTATGTGAGGAATTATGTGTTGATTCCAAATGCCTTAAATAATTAACAACACAATCTACACCAGATTTTTGCAGAAAAAATTCCAATAGCGCAAACAAAGTTATGTTGTTCGTGGAAGAGGCAAACCATTCACGCACGTTGTAAGTGTAATAAATCACACTCAAATTGTTAACTCGGATCTATCATCGAAGACGTATGTCTGAGGGTAATAACCAAGGAAGATTAATACTCATAGATGAACAAATCAAGCTCACAAAGTTGTGTGAATCATGACCTTCAGATATCCCATACCCTCGCTCACCTAGAATTTTCTAACAAACATTCACATTTTCAACCTCTACGAACTCAATTCCATCTTTTACTCTTCTGATTACCTCTTATCTCATTGTATTTTTTTTTCTTTTTCCTCTCCCTAGAGTTCACACCCAAAAGTCTCAATAAGGCAAGTACATCAAAAATGAAAAACAATCATTCTCAATAATTCTCTATGTTGACTCCAAAATTTGCTTTCAATCGAATATTCTAGAATATGCTTCTTCATCTCAATCATATTGAGGAACTGGTGATGTTACATTGAGGAACGAATCCTTTGCACCCAATTCCATAGTCATCCAGCATTTGCTACATCCAAAGAAGTTAGGAGCATTCTTTGGCGAACACAATATATTATGCCTCCACTATAGATAGAGTTATGTTGTTCTATTTCTTGGAGAACCAGGTTACCAAGTTTTTCCTAATATAAAAGCACTCATTATGTAATCTTACGATAATCACAATACCCCATCAAGTCCGTATCTTCTTAAGGGACCACTCTAAATTTTTTTTGAACTATATTTTCACTTTCATCTATTTTATTTCTAAAAATTCACATGGTCCCGATGATGTTGGCACCTGCTAGAAGAGCAATCAATTTAAACACCATTTCTTTCGATGAACGTTTCAAATGATTTATCATCTGAGCCTTGACTCTTTTCCTTTGTTAGTTCATTGCAAAACTTCACATTTACTGACCCCATCTCTTTCTTATTGCTCAAATTGATTACCCTATAAGATTGAATATCTGTGCAATATTCCAAGAAGTTCGCTTCATTAGCTAGCGAGTCAAATTTGCCCAAGACATTTTTGTCTTTTAGAAAAGGACACCTACAACCAAAATCTCAAAAGTAATGTACTCTGGGCCTCTTTCCCTTCCATATCTCATAAGGTGTGGACTTAGTGTGTGGCTTAAAAAAGATTCAGTTGATGACATGACATGTTGTATTTATTACTTCAGCCCATAAATTCTTTGGCACTCCCTTTCCTCGCATTATACACTTGGTCATCTCTTGGAGTAATCTATTCTTTCTCTTGACAACACCGTTCTGTTACGGGGTTTTTAGGATATAAAGTCCATGTATAATTCAATTCTTGTTACATAAATTATCAAACTCCTTATTTTCAAATTCTTTTCTTTGGTCAATTCAAATTCTCATCAATTTAGATCCTTTCTCATTAGCCTCTTGTTGACACAATACTTCGAAGGCTTCGTAGGTGTCTCTCTTTCTTCTTAAATAATCTCACACATTTATAGTAGTTGTACGCTGTGAAAAAATTATATTTTCTCTCACCTATGTTTTCCACTCCGTCGGACCCATGAGGTCGATATGTAGCAACTCCAAACATCGGTTGGTTGTGTGTTGATTAGACAACTTGTGCTTCACTTTGCTTCTCTTCTCTTTACAACAATGTCCACACACAATATTTTGAGAGTTTGACAATTTAAGCAGGCCTCGAACTGCTTCTAGACTACTGATCCTGATTAAACTCTACATATTGGCATGCCCAAGTCTAATGTGTCATAGACTGCGACCCTCCTTTTGAGTAAACAATGCAACCTTCAAGAGATTTAGTCAAGACCTAGCAATTGTTTTTTTAATCAAAACTCCACTCATGACTTGTTGTCCCCCATTCAAAACTTCACATTCGTCTTTAGTAAACTTGACTTCAGTTTCTTCATCACACAACTGGATGATGCTAATAAGATTCGTGTTGAGATCTTCAACATAATATACCTTTCTATGTTTAGGTAGTCCATCAAACTTCAATCCTCCATGATCTGATATTTTTCCCTTAAGCCCATTACTAGTACGGAAGGTTTATATGGAGCATGAGAACTGAGTCATAATAATTTGGACATATTGAATGTATACTTGAGGTGATCCCAAACATTGTTTAAAAAATATATCCATGTAAACGGTGACAACACCCATACATAGAGGAATATAAAAAGGATTTGAAATATCATAATATATTAAAGAAAAATAGTGTACTTGTGATTGACATATTTTTTTGAAAATGTTTAGGCATGTTATTTTCTTAAATGATATTTTAAATAATCAAATAACTCAAAGCTAGTAGAACCTAAACAGTCCTTAGCAACCATAGATCAAATTTTAGGAGAATATGCATGACCGAAGGTTATAATGAGACTAGGAAGAACAAGAGTAGTATTATGAGTGAGAGCAATAGTAGTAAAGAGATTACAAAGATGAGTCTACTTCTATTGAACCTCAAATAGGCAACCCACCTATCGACCCATCTTAAGAATTTGACCCGTATGTTGATCCTCAACCTGCACACTAGAAGAAAAGAAAGTAACAATAAGTCCCTGGTAAACTAGTTGGCCGAGTGATACAAGATTTAGAGTCAACTTGAGAATACAGTGAGTATCAGAAAAATATGTAGATGATAGAGGCAAAAATTCCGAATGAGTGATATCTATGTGGCTCCCATTAGTAATGTGCATAGGTAGTGAAAATGATATGGAGATCTATTAGTCAATAGACAAGTGTAGGTGTTATATGATTGTAGAAACTAAGATCGAAATACCACTGAGGACTACCTGAAGGGACCATGATACGAGAGAAATTTGAAGCCCGAACTTGATGTGAGAGAGTTACGATGTTATGGAGTGTCGGAGATGCTGATTGATCATAGTGATAAGGCGGCCGTGTATTTCAAGCATTTCGGAAGACCACAGAGCTCAGTCAAGATGGCCAAACAAAGTAATTTTGAATAGTATGACCTCTACGATGATAGTAACAACATTCCAATATCATAATTAATATGTAAATCAATAAAATAAAGCAACCCAAAAAATAGTCTAAACAAACCAAGCTACAACATAATCAGAAATTCTCAAAACAAAGCAAATTAACCTCAAATAACAAAATAAAATTTGAAACTCATATGTGCAAGAACTGACACATAGACTTGTATAAAAAAATCCCAAAATAAAGCCACAAAAATTTGATGACAGAGTTGCCATCACATGCCCCTATGCACTTCCGTCGCAAATCAACATCGGAACGCATTACTGGCGTGTGTGGGCCGCATGCACCGCTTTCGTAGTAATAGTTTTTTTTGGTGGCCGGTCTCGGCATAGTAGTGACAATGTGATGGGCGGTGTTGATTGGTTATCAACGGATAACGATGAAATTGTTATAGAAGGATGTGCCCATTATTAGAGAAAAATAAACTCTCATACTATGTAAAAATTTTCAGAATGAAAATTATTTTTAATAATAAAAGTAGGAGATTAAAAATAAATGTAATTTACTACATAATTTAATGCATATAGCTATATAGTAACGAGATATAATCAATAAAAAAATATATGAATTATATCTATACACTAAAAAACAAAGGTAAGATTACTTACAAAATGTTTATGTGAGTAATCATAAAAAATCCATGAGTAAATCGATTACTCACGTAATTTTGTCTGTGAATATTCTGTCAGTGAACACCTCGTTAGTAAGTATGTACGAGGAAAATCTATGACTAAATTACTCACAGAATTCGCTCCGTGAGTAATTTGCTCGTGTAATTACTCACGAGATTTGTCTGTGAGCAAATTTACTCATAAAAAATTATATGAATAATTCCATAAATAAAATTCAACAAGATAGAAGTTGACTATCTTATTTGCGACATAAAGATTGCATGAGTAATTTATTCAAAAAATTACTCACATAATTTTCCCTCGAAACATGTCAACATAATGTTTAAAATAGAATAATCACTACAAAAAAAAATAGTATATTTGTAACAGAATTCCGTCCTTAAAGATCATGTAGCTAATGTAATTCCATCGTTAGTTCCGTCTCTAATATCATTGGTAACGGAAAAAGTAGATTTAAAGACAAAAAAATCTCGTTACAAAAATTATATTTTCTTATAGTGAATTTCTGTGAATAATTCTTCCAACCACCAAAAATTTATATTTTGATTTATCCGTATCTATCTTAAATCATATATTACGACAACAAAAATCCAAGTCATAAAGTAAATCGCACCAAACCAAATATACAATAAACAAAATATGAGTGAATCATAGTTCCGTAATCGATGGATATCACGAAAAATAGTAAACATAACATTACAGTCAAAATAGTAGAATCCATACAATATTAGAGTTTAAATACCAGTACGAAAATAAACAAACGGATGGCGCACCAAAATTGCCATCGGGGTCACGGCAGTTCTGCCGGGAGTTCGTCCTCTTGAGCTGCTGCATGATGGTATTTGTCATCATCTCCCGCTAGAAACCTTGTATTCTTACACTGCTTTCATGAACAACATATAGTATTGTCAATCTTATAGATATTTGAGTTGTTCATGCAAATAATGCAGAAAGTCGGTAACCCTATTAATAATGTTTCTATTTAGAATAGCCTTGTGCATCCTATTATACATCCAAGCTCGTCTAGGAGTTGTCATGTCTAAGTTATTTGCCTCTGAAATAATATTTATTAGACAAGCAAAAATTCTTCATCAATTTTATGACAATCAACCATTGAAATCTTCAATAGTAAAACAAAAATATATTATCAAAATTTTGAAATAAAAACAAAAAAAAAAAAAAAAACTAATCTACAATCCTCTTTCTTTATAATTTCCAACACATTTTATTAAACCCCATTATTCATTAGCATTTATTGAATTTTTTTTTTTCTTATTTAAAACATAATAGTGCTAGCTCCAAAATACAAGATACAAAAATTCATCGAATCTTCTATTCATTCTTCCAAACCAAAAATTAAAATCTAATATATTATCTGAAAGCTCGTGATTTTTAACTTAAATTCAAATAGCATAAAATGATATATATATATATATATATTTGGTCTTGACAAGGTCAAAAGTGCAATTGAATTTTGAGAAGGTTGCTCCAAAAATAGTCGAGCTTATAAATATATAGCACAAAGAAAGTTAGCATACATACACATATATATATATATATGTATATACTCTATATTTATAGGTAGGTAAATTTGGTAGGCATATATACAGGTAGGCAACTGAAATAGATTCATAGGTTACTTAGCTAAATGTGTAATCTTGTCCTTTCTTTGGTGAAAGAAAGCTTGCAAATTTCATGATCTCATTACATTTTTCCATTAAACAAATATACACAATAGCGCCTAAAATAAAAACTAAAACAATTCAGATAGCATCCAAACTCAATGAACTTGTGAAGATATACAAGTGTAATAATACCATGTAGCGAATAAATATTGTACTGAATAGAATTGATTTTGTAATGTATTTCTCTAGTAGAACATGAGCAAACTTGTTCCGCTAGAATAAACAAGCCAACCATAGATTACAAACTTCATGAAAAGCTAACAAATATTTGATGACACACCAAACCATGCATAGCAATTAGAAGTGATAGTCACAACTAGAGTTTATGTTTACAATACATAATTCATACATTTAAAATTAGATGACCAAACATCAAATGTGAAAATTTAAAATCGAAAGGAGATTATGCAATGGTTTAGGAAAAAATTATGAAGCTGTTAAAAACTAAACTGACAAACAAATTCATCACTGGCCAACCGAAAACAATGCATTTTCTTCAATTTTTACAACTAACTAATCATTACATAATAATTCTCAATGCAATAGAAATTAATCAAACAAATGCACCAAATTTGATTTGTCACTGATAAACTAGTCGGGCCATTTGTTTGTTACCTAACATTGGGCCATTTAATTAGTTTAGTTTAGCCTATTTTCATATTGCTATAGGTTGTTAGTTTGTTTGATCTGTTGCATATATACATACACTTATATACATATCAGGTCTGTACAAAAGAGTGTTCCGCAATCAATTTAGAATAGAAAATTTCTCTTCCTTGTTTTTCCCTAAAATCGTCATGGTATCAGAGCGCATGAGTTCGATTGATTACTGATTGATTACCGATCTTCTATTTCATTTGATTAATTTGATTTGTGATTTTTTATTTCACTGAGATTGATTAATTCTCAGCCTCATGGTCTGTTCTGCTGCTATTATTTTCTTGTTGTAGTTTGTTTGAGAAATTGCAAGATGCTTACAGATCTGTCACTCTCTTCTGGAAACACAGTTAATTCATCCTTGGAAATCTTTTCTCATGATCAACCTAGCATGAGTCTTGTTCGTCTTCAACTCACGGAGACAAATTACTTGATATGGAGCACAGTGGTCTTGAGAGCTCTCTCAGCAAAAGGAAGAAAGGGATTCATGACTGGGGAAATTAAACGACCTCAAAACCCAATAGCTGCCCTAGAATGGAAAAGAAATGATGATATGGTACTTGGTTGGCTGTTGAACTCGATCTCTCCAAAAATTACAGTTGCGCTCAGTCTCATCAAGAGAAACTAAAACTTCGCTATAGTCAACACAACGACCCTCTCATTAACCAAAAGATGAGAGAAATCAGTAGGCTCTATCAAGGTAATCTCTCTATGGCTGCATACTTCAATAAAATGCAGAGTTTGAAAGATGAGCTGTCCTATTTGCCACCTGTGCCTATTGATAGAAATGAATTTGATCTGTATCTCCACAACCTAGATGCAATTGATTTGATGGGCTTAAATGACAATTTTGATGCTGTAAGAAACCAAATATTGATGATGGATCCTTTGTCGGATGTAAACAATATATTTGTATACTCTCAACTGTAGAGAAACAACAAGAGGTACATGATATGTTAAAAGATCATTCACCCATTGTGTTACTTGCTAACTCAAGAACCAGTGAAAGAAAGTTGGATAAGTCATTAAAAAGGAATTTGGTGTGTGATCACCGCAAGAGAAATGGACATGTCAAAGCTGAGTGCTTCAAAATTCACGGCTATCCTGAGTGGTATAAGGAAAGATTGAATAATAAAAGAAGGGAGACGTTACATTGCAAGCAGGTGAGGATACGAAATTAGCTGCTTCATATAATGTTGCATTTAACTCTGCATTCAATAGTACCTCATCTTCATTATCCAATGAAGCCTTAAGCGATCTAATACAAAGGGAGATTAGGAAAGCTTTTGAATCCTGCAAAACTCCAGTTGAAGAAATCAATATTTTCAGCACTCACCATACAAGTACTGTTTGTCTCAATGCATCTAATGAGGTGAATAAACTTAGAGGTTGGGTTCTTGACAGTGGAGCCACATGTCATATAGCTAATGACAGAAGGTTATTTGATTGTTTGATACAACTTGATAGTCCTATTAAAGTCTTCATGCCCAATGGAACAGTGCAGTTAGCAGAGTGGATAGGCACAATGAAATTTGAATGAGATTATTACTCTTCTTGATGTCTATTTTCTCCCTACCTTTAAAACAATTGCTTGGTATCCATATACAACTTGTGCTTGTTACCATAATTATATGTGATCTTCAAGAATAACCAGTGTTTAATTCAGGACCATGATCATCATGTGCTTGGAAAATGAGTGCTTGAAGGACATCTGTTCTATCTGGAAGGTCACACCGATCAAGTGCGTGCTGTCAAGCTGGATACTCCTTGTCATCAAAGATTAGGACATCCATCCAGTTTGGTAATGCAGAAATTATTGTTTAACTCTACTCTTATGAATAAGGATGTTGCACATACTACTTCTCTACCTTGTGATGCTTGCAATTCAACCAAAATGAGACATTTACCTTTTGGTTTGAGTGCTAATAAAGCTGATTCTTCCTTTACCTTATTACATCGTGATATTTGGGGCCCTTATCACTTACCATCTACTTGCGGAGCCAAATATTTTTTGACTATTGTAGATGACTACAACATAAGCACATGGATTTTCTTGCTATCACTAAAGTCTCACGTCTTAAACGTATTTGTTGTGTTCATCAAATTGATTCATACTCAGTTTAACTCCAAAGTAAAGAACGTGAGAACAGACTTTGAAGCCGAGCTTACTTCTCTGGCTTTCAAGAATCTATTACAAGAGAATGGAATTGCTCATTACAAGTCTTGCCCATGTACTCCACAACAGAATGGTCGAGTGGAGAGAAAACATCAGCACCTCATCTTCATTGCTAGAACCTTGCTTGTGCAAGCCAATCTACCTACTGAGTTCTGGGGATAGGCTGTTCTAACAACTACTCACTTGATCAAAATATTCTCCCCAGTCCTGTGTTGAATTGGAGATCACCCTATGAGATTTTATATAACAAGAAACCAGATCTTGATGGACCGAGAGTCTTTGGCTATCTGTATTTTATTTATAACACAGATCCTACAAGAAATAAATTCAGTAATAGAGGAGTTAAAGCTATCTTCATGGGTTATGAAAAAGGAATAAAAGGTTACAAAATTTACATTCCCTCCACAGACAGTTCTTGATCTCTAAAAATGTGGTCTTTTTTGAATCAGTGTTCCCTGGATTAGATTGTACTGCCTCTACCTCCAACTTTTGCCTTTCCCATGTGGTTGGTACTGAGGACAGAAAATCTTTGCCGGTCGATAAGTTCACCTCTACAGACACCCCATCCCCTATTCAACTAACTTCTCAGGCTTCTCTATCCCTGGTTGCTGAACCTCAGTCTTCTACATCTAGTATTCCCTCTTCTCCTGATACAATACAACAATTGCACTATCATCTGTGCCACCTTCTACACGGCCCTATAGGGAGGTTAAGCAACCTGGTTGGCTTAATGACTACGTCTGCATGTGTACTGACAACAATGATGAGCCGATCTCTTATCTTGAAGCTGTGGATAACACCCATTGGATACAGGCTATGCAAGAGGAACTTGATGCTCTTGAGTCAAACCATACATGGGACATAGTTGCAAGGCCCAAAGAAAAAAAGGCTATAGGATGTAAATGATATACAAAATTAAGAGAGACAAATCAGGAGCAATTTCTCAATATAAAGCTCGGTTAGTAGCCAAAGGCTACCTGTAGGAACAAGGGAAAGACTTCAGTGAAAGCTTTGCACAAGTAACAAAATGCACTACAGTTCGACTGCTCTTGGCTATCGGCATTGCTAAAGGTTGGCTTATACATCGGATTGATGTTAATAACGCTTTTCTGCATGGAACTCTTGAGGAGGATGTCTATCTCTAGCCCCCTCCAGGGTACTCAATCCCCCCCCCCCCAAATCATGTGTGCAAATTGAGAAAATCCTTGTATGGGCTGAAACAGGCTCCAAGGGTTTGGTTCTAGACTCTCGCAACGAAGGTTCTTGCCTTTGGCTTTAATCAGTCTCCTCATGATCACTGTTTTTTTATTCTTCACCGAGGTCCGGATATTCTAGCCTTGACAGTTTATGTGGATGACATTCTTCTTATTGGTTCCTCTGTGGGATTGATTAATAAAGTCAAGACCTATCTCCATGATATTTTCACCACTAAAGATCTTGGTGACGCCAATTTTTTCTTGGGCATTGAGATTAAACAGTCTTCCTCTGGTTTGATATTATCTCAGCAACGGTATATCGTTGACATCCTTGAGGACATGGATATGCACTCTGCTTCGGCTGTTGCCACTCCTTTACCACATGGGATCAAGTTGTCAGCTTCTGATGGTGAACCTTTGGATGATCCTGCCTCATACAGACGTCTCATTGGTTGTTTGTTATATCTCAACTTTTCTCGTCCTGATCTTACTTTCACGACACAACAGTTAAGTCAATTCATGTCACACCCCACTTCTTGTTATTGGAAAGCTACTTTGCATGTTCTTCGATACCTCAAGGGCTCCGTTAATTTCGGGTTACACTATTGTGCCGATCTTGCATTGAATGTCACGGCCTTTGAAGATGCTGAGTGAGGTGCCTACTTGGACAGCCGAAAGTCTATCTCTGGCAATTGTATTTTTGTTAGGAACAATTTGGTTTCATGGAAAGCCAAGAAACAAACTACTGTCAGTCTCTTTACCGCGGAATCGGAATACCGTAGTATGAGCTCGTGTACGAGTGAGCTTGTGTGGTTATCTTACATCTTTCATGCATTGCGCCTTGAGTTCCTTACCCCGGTACCACTTCACTGCAACAACCAGGTTGTTATTCATATCACAGAGAACTCCGTGTTTCACGACCGGACCAAACATATTGACATCGTCTGCCATTTCATCCTCCATTATTATGAAAACAAATTTCTTATTCCCGTCTTCACGAACAGTGGTAATTAGTTAGCTGATATTCTCACGAAATCGCTTCCTCGTGCGACTTTCGACCTGCTTCGCTCCAAGCTTTGCAATGATACACTTGGCGCGACGGGGGGTAATAAACTAGTTGGGCCATTTGCTGTTACCTAACATTGGGCTATTTAATTAGTTTAGTTTAGCCCATTTTCATATTGCTATAGGCTGTTAGTTTTTTTGATCTGTTGCATATATACATACACTTATATAGATATCAAGCCTGTACAGAAGAGTGTTCCGCAATCAATTTAGAATAGAAAATTTCTCTTCCTTGTTTTCCCTAAAATCGTCAGCCACTTTTCTTATTGCTTTCAGCGAATTACTTCTATAACAATACAACATTTTCCCAAACTTTACCTTACATGATTTTCCTCTTTGGTAGGATAGATAAACATTCAATTAACATATCATATATTGTTTTACTTGACAATTAATACTCTCTCCGTCAAACTTAAGAGTCTCATTTGCATTTTGCGTCATTGTACTTAATATTAAAAATATCTTTATATTTGTATAAATTTTTACACAAATGTCATTATAATAATATTATAAGACACTAATAGAAATGTTTTTGTCATTTTTTTTTATTTTGTACTACGTTTTCATATAATAATTAATATTAAAAAATCAGCATGTAAAAAGTAAATGAGACCCTTAAAGTGGGACGACTCGAGACCTAGCAACACAATCATTAATCATATATCCGCAAACGGGAGTCTCAACACGCCCCCTCAAGTACAAGTGGAGGTATGCGAAGCTTGCACATACATATGCGCACAAATGAGTATGGTGGAACTCGAGACCTAGCCAGACTCTGATACCATGTTGGATGCTTAATGACCGTCTCATCTAAAAGCTCGAACTGTTAGGAAAATGAAGTCATTAATCATATATTCGTAAACGGGAATCCCGAACTGTCAGGAAAATACAGTCATTAATCATATATCCGCAAACGGAAGTCCCAATGACTACTTTATAATTTTTATGCTGTAAGACATAAGGGATTGTCAAACAAACACTCTAAATCAGGAAACACATAAACAACAACAACAACAACAATAATAATAATGCAAAACCAAAACAGTTTAATGAACCTACATAATAGCCTTCCAAGGAAAAATGAGATGCAACAAACTGAAAATATATTGGTGTTTAATGAGACTTATCATAGGTACAAGGGCTTGAAGATCACTGTGAAATCATACAACTATAGAACTACAACAGTTATAAATACATAGTATAACATATATTGAAGTCAGATGGAGGCAGAAGTCATCTTTAACCAAAGAAGTGAAACTCATTCCTACTAGCGAGAGTAATGCATTTTATAATAAAAGCTCATAATAAGCCACAAAGTGATTGAAAATGCTGACAGAACAAAGTAAAGAATGAAATTAGGAACCATATAATTAGTATTGGTTTAGTCAAACACAGCAAGACATGCCTATCTCAAACAAGTTTAATATGAAAATGCCTTATACAAATGTTTTTATAAATTCCAGCCTTTCAACATGTAGAAAATTTTTTTGCACACAAAGCTTTAGAAACATTGGTGAAATGGCTAAGCATAGCATTAATAAGCACACTGAAACTGCTGCAGCGATTTACAGTTCAACCTTTGGCTGTTATAAAACATGAAAGCAGTTTGATAAGGTCTGGTCTAAACACCTGTCATGCATCTATAACAAAACTATTTGTCCTCACCTCCAAAATCATGGGTTTTGATGGAATCAAAGTATCAAACACAACTTCATAACAAATCATTAACAAAAAATTCTCAAGAAGTATCTATAACAACACTTAAGCTAACTGCAAGCACCTTTAAATATGTGCTCCCAACCTTCTCTACATGGTTACCACACTCATAAAAAATCTGTACAAATGAAAGTTCACATTATCAGTGAACCAGAAATCCAATGAATGAGTTACCCATTTCAATATTTTCCACATAATCCTAACTCTTCCAAAATAGAAAAATCATACCCATCTATAAATAAAGAACATTTCTAATCTAAGCATTCTCATGTAAATAAAATAATTTAAAATAACAAATTGGGCGAAAATCGAAACCCTTAGTTATGTACAAAGTACCCAAGTCACAATTCGAAGAGGCTTGTTGCAGACTAAATAACTGACTGATGAAGACAAGAAGAAGAAAATTCAAACCGATGGAGTTGTTCTGGAAATGTAAAGATTTAATTGAAAATACAACCTTTTCAAGAGCTAACATGTCTTTGACTTGCTATCTAAAGAGTTATTCTGCTTTTAGTGTAACTAAAGTAACTGTAGGCCTGATGTCTAAATATTTTAGTAAGAAAATAACTACTTGCAAGTACAAATGAATAAAATTCACAAAATAGAAAATTAAAATTCATATCCCACTAGCTAGCATTGTATGGACTTTTAGCCAATATAGTTACAAATAGTCCTACCTACCTTCTTGGCCATTCATGCCCTCAAAATATCAGCATAGGAAGCTTAGTAAAGTGATCCAGTGGATGCATGTACTAGTAGCATTTACCTATTACTTTCACTAACCTTCATCAACAATGTAGCAAAATGAATAACTCCTAATATAAGTAAAGATGGTCTGAAAAGATTCCTTATGACCACAATGGATAGTAACAAACTCTATTTACATATACATACACATTAAATGAAAACATAAGGTCACAAACAGTGAGAATTGCATAAAAGGAGCAACTACTTAACTCACACGAGCCCTGATAACAAATGGAAATGATATTTGTGGATCCATTATGTCTTGTAACAATCTTTGAGAAGAAAGGGAAGGTGTGCATTCTCTGCCAACATTGAACAATACGCTTCATTAACCATTCTAATGACATTTTTACGAGACAGCTTCGTAAGAATGAAGAATATTAGTATTCAAGAATGATAATTAAGCAATGGCATTAACAATTATAATTTCCTCAACACTTAGTGCATTGACTTGCAACATTCATTTAAAAAAAGAAAAAAATAGTTGTTGCAATGCATATAAATAATGTAAAATTCGTTCATGAAAACCAATACATCAAAAAAATTTGCAATATGTGCAAGTAATTTGTGACCGAAGTCAATCCCCACCATATGTGTCATCCCATAAACAAATTCCGCAAAAACAATAGCATACCTTCAATTAGAATTATACAAAAAGGCTGAGATATGAAGAATATTAACAAGGCACTAAATAAAAGAGAATAATCAATTACAATAAATAATCTTTTTTTTATGAATAGAAAAATGAAATAGTATTAACAAATAGAGCAGTTGCATGAAGTACAATGCAATGCGGATAGTAAAGATATGACAAGTACATCAATGAAGAAATGATAATCGACATCCAGAACAATCCATAATTTAAGAGAAGAGAAGCAAGTAAAAGAAAAGAAAGAGAGAGATAAATACTTGACTGTTTACTCTCTCTAGAACCTCGAGAGAGAGATAAAGTAATATGTTTATGTTCGGTGCGCAAAATGTCATCCCAATTGCCTACCCTGCATTGAACACTGCCCTCGCCTCTTCCCTAATTGCCTACCAAATCGTGCATAACTGATAAACCTCGAGTTAAAAGCCCTAATTTTTGCAAATCAATGTTCTAAGGAGCATTTCATCGAACAGTTGGAGGACTCCAAATCCATACCTGAGCAACATGATCCCATAGATTAGAATTGAAGGAGGTGTGGCGAGGATGATCTGAGGGAACATAGTGGTGGATTTGATGGTGCCATTGAAGCGGACATCCTTGCCGTGGCGCGAAACTTCGTGCAAAGCCTCCGACCACCACTCGCAAGCTGAGACCTTGAGGAGAGGGATAGATGCCGCCTTGTTCACTAGCTTCTGTACCTTCTTGTCCATTGTCATAATTTATGATTTTATTTTAATTGAGTTTGTCATATTAATCTAATTTGAATTTTTAGCGATTGGTGATGATTAATAAAAGAATATATTAAAATCTTTAATTTAAGTTTTTAACTATAAAATCTTTCTAATTTGTTACTATTAAATTACAATAAGTTACAAAATTATAATAAGAAATAAATTAATTTTAGTTACAAATTATAGTTTGCAGTTAATAATTTTTTACTATGATAATATTTATTAGCAAAAATTTTTGCAATAACTTATAATTTTTTTATAGTGAGAATACTTCTGCCGTTCAAAACATCGTCACTGTTTTTGCGAGTCATTATGTAAGTAGGAATTAAATTTCATCCGTAAGTAATCTGGACGGAGTCGGTTCCATCCGTAATTACTCACAAAATTTATTTCTTGAATAATCCAGGCGAAATTCAATTTCTTCCATAATTTCATCGATATTACTCCAAGTTAATTTCGTAAATAATTTTCATGAGTAAAACACAAATATCTTATAGTGATATATCTCAACTATATATATATATACATAATTATTTCAAGATTTCTCGAATTAATTTAAGACTAATTTTTTTTCTTTTTTTTTTTTTTTGGGTGCGTGTATGCGAAGGTAACAAAGAGAGTATGATATATATATATATATATAAAGAAAATAGAAGATAAAAAATAAAGTTTGTTGGGTGTGTTTGTTTGGATGTTTGGATTTTGAGTTGGAATTTGAACAGTAAAAATTTTGAATTTGAATAATTGTATAATGTGATATAAATAGGTGTTGATGTGATGTTTTGAATGTAAAATTAATTTTTAGTATAATATAAAAATAAAAATTAGGTGTTTGATTTGATGTTTTTGGGGTGAAAAAATTGGATGAATAGTGAAAAAAAAAAATCCAATCCCTCGAACAAACACACCTTTAGTAACTCTTGTAGTGCATTGATTCACATACCACTTAAACCATTAAATTAACATCTATTTTATTTAAAATACTACATTAACAAATTAATTTTTATTAAAAAATATTGAATCAGAATTTCGATTTCAAAGTCAAATTTAAATTTAAATCCAAAATTTAATAAAACGCGACAACAAATTTAAAGGCTCACAATACTCTTAACAAAATATTATCCATCACCAGTCCCAACATTACATACCTTTCAATGTATACATATTAATCTATAGAATAAGCAAAGACCATGAACATGGCCATTGCAAGTCTCATTAGGGCACATAATAAAAGTCCCAATTAATCTTGTAGGAGGATCATCATCATCATCAAACAATGACAATTTTAATTTAATCGAAGACGATACAAAATGACAATTAACTAAGTGAAGATATATATAAATAATTTATTTATTTATTTATTTTTCAGGGGCATTTTGGCCCTCCTCTCTTGGTTTTCCAGTTATCGTAGCAAGGGCAGCCTATCTTGTTGCCATAGAAGCCAGGAGGAACACACAAGCATTTGTTGCAGCACTTGTTGCAGAAAATTAGGCACGGCTTCTTGTACCGCGTTTTCTTGCACCTTCTAGAACATTCCGACGGGCATTCTGGCCGGGAAACCAACAAGACAATGATATCGATCAGTTTATGTATATATATATATATATATATGAATGCATGTATGTATGTGTATATGAATGTTTCGATTTTGGTTTTTGGATTTACCGAATCTCTTCAAGCTACCGGGGCCGTATTTTTTTGCCTGAAACAAAATATTTACCGTTAGACTTCGCAATAGTTTTGGAATTAGGAGCAAATATGTATGCGTTTTGGAAATGTTGTAAGAGTCTTTCAGTAGCCATTATTCTTATTTCATTCCCAAACGCTCCATTGAATATTACGTTATTTTAATCATATATATTAACGATTAGGATAAAGAAAAAAAAAGGAAAATTTAGCTACGCATTTCAAAATAATCTTAAAACACTTTTTAATCTTTTTTTTCCCACCTTAAATAGGATACTTATAATTTTATATATCTATTTTTTTCAATCAATAAATATATTTGTATATATTTAAAATTTATATATTTTTTCTTTTTTAATATATTAATTTAGGTACGTTAATATATACTACATCCGTCCGGCTCTAAGGGCCAAATTTACTTCTTACACGTTGATCTTTGAATATTAATTATTATGTCAAAATATAGTACAAATTAAGAAAAAATTGTAAAAATACTTTCATTAGTGTTTTGTAATACTAATAGAATGACATTTGTACAAAAAATTATACAAATATAAGGACATTTTTAATGTTAAGTACAATGACGCAAAAAGTAAATGAGGTCCTTAGAATCGGACGAAGAGAGTAATACATTTTATCTACACCTCATTAAAACGGTGAATTACTAATTTTTTTTTTCTAAAATATTTAACACAACTAACTAATTAGGGTGTGTTTGTTTGGGGGATTGGATTGGATTTACACTATTTATTCAATTTTTTTCCCCCAAAAACATCAAATTAAACACCTATTTTTAATTTTTTATATTATACTAAAAATCAATTTTACATTCAAAACATCACATCAACACCTATTTATATCACATCATATAACTATTCAAATTCAAAATTTTTACTATTCAAATTCCAACTCAAAATCCAAACCTCAAAACAACTCATAGGAATAGAAAGTATAAGAGCAATGAGGATTATCTCTCCGGAAGAGATAATGTAAAAAATGGAGAAAGAGAACTCCAATTTAAAATCAATTGGCACGCTTTTACTCTTATAAGTAAGAGAAGATCCCAATATTTTTTCAATGTAGCCTCGTTGAGACATATCGATCAAGCTATAATCAACACAAAACTTCCAAATAAAAGATTAAAATTCATATGATAAGACTCACGGCATCCGGACGGTAGTCGCCAGCCAGTGCCTAAAAGAATAGCATCACATATTGAACTAACAACCAGCTCGATCGATGCACACATATATACTTGCGCATATCGAAGCAAAAATTACATAAACGACCCTATACGCGTACCGTGGTGGTGAAGATGGAGATGGAAATCAAAGTAAGGAGCAGCATAAGAGTTATGAGCTTAGCCATTGTCCAACGCTACTAAAGTGAGAGAGCTTCAATTATGCGAGACAAGCTTTACTGCCCTATGAACACATATATGCATATATATAATAGTGTCGGACTATATGTGAAAATCAGCACCGTGTTGATTTTCCAAATCAGCAAATATAAAATACAAAAATAGCACATGTTGTGTGTAATAAAGGCATGTGTTGTTTGTTCATGATTACAGCGTGTGCTGCATGAGAGTACATCACGTGCTAAAATCAAATATTGTATGTGTTGTGTGAGACTATATTATGTGCTAAAATCAAGTATTGTATACGTTGTGTGAGACTATATCTTGTGTTGTTAAGTCATGTACAGTATTTGTATTATATTAACGTATTTGGTGGCTCACGCTGTGCTATTCAGCACAGTGTTAAATTTTATGTTCGGCACTGTAACACCGCCTATGTATTATATACGGAAGACTTAACAGTCCTCTTCTTCGATTAAACAATATTTTCTATGACTGATTATGATTCCTTTCATCCATTTTCGAGGCCACATTTCTCGCACTTGTCTTCGTGCAATAAATTTTGTGTCGACAATTTCGTTGCAAACAAGAATATGATGATGTAATAAAATAACCGAATGGCCAAGATCCATCCATCGATGGCGATGCGAAACAAAATCGAATAAAAATGAAAGTCCTGACATGAAACAGTTATAGCCAAGCAACCGCAAGATGCTCGTCTTGAATACCTCTTCCCAAGAAAAAATAAGTAATAATAAATAAATAATAGAAAACACAGTGGACTATAAAATTTGCCATTGCAGATGATCTATCGAGAAGATCTTGAGTTAGTTCAATATATTAATTGTTATGATATATGTGGTCTGTCCCTTTTATTTTAATTAGCTTTCAATATTTTAAGAATAAATTGCTATTTTATGTGATCTAATGTATAAAAATAAATATAATAATTGATATTTTATGATAAAATAATACTTTCTCCGTTTTAAAATAATAGTCTCATTTTTGTCATTTTCGTTAGTTTCAAAACAATAGTCTCATTTTCATTTTTGGTAACAAACTTCGTACTTTTTTACAGAACTATCTCTACTTTTTCATAATAATTACATAAACGAGGACATTTTGGTATTAATATAATATAATATAGTATTCCTTAATTCTAATGTCAATATCAAATGTTTCTATTGTTTTGGAACTAGGAAAGTAAATTAAATAGTACTTCGTCTTGTCGGTTAAATTTATTGTCATCTCTTTGGACATATATTAATGTAGGTGTAGGTGTATTTATATTTTTTTTTACTTTTCATATTTTTTTATAGTAAATAAATAAATAATACTCCCTCCGTCCCGCAAAAAGGTTGTCATTTGATTTTTGCGTCATTGTACTTAACATTAAAAATATTCTTATATTTGAATAATTTACTCGAAAAATATCATTGTATTTGTATTATAAAAGACTAATAAACATATTTTTGCTTTTTTCTCTAGATTTCTACGGCGTATTGATATAATAATTAATATTCAAAGTTCAACATGCAAAAAGATCATGGCAACCTTCTTGCGGCACGGAGAGAGTATAATTTGTTTTACCGAAAGAAAGAAGGAAAATACTTTTTTCAATTACAATCCAAAAAAGAAAGTAATTTTGATTGTTAGAATTAAATATCCTCTTATTAAATTTAAATATTTTTTTTATATTATTTGACATTATCTATGTTAGTTTAGACTCCAATATACTAAGTATATATACTCTTGTATATTCTTATTTTGAAATAATATAATTTTTTAATTTTCTCCTAAATTCTAATAGGGCATCAGAGCCTTATTTTTCAAAATAAAAAAATCCTAGCTGCCGCTGCCATCCGCCATCCGCCGTACTCCAGTCAACACCATCGCCATCGTTGAGACCACCTCGTCGCCGCCGACCTTCCCTCCAAAAATCGCTGCCAACCGCCGCGCATGGAGCCCTCACGCACTGCCAACGTGAATCGCGGCGGAAAAGCCTTTTCCGCCACCTCGCTTCGAGCCGCGTGTGTGGGCGCGTCCGGCCACCTTCGGCCATCGTTTTCCGGCCACCGCTTCCTATTTTGGTTCCCTACGTCGTGGTGTGGTTAGTTTTGTCGTCGGAGTTAATTTTATTTTGCGTAAATTATTGATATGGTTTCGTCAGTCCAGAATGTCATGACTTTCTTCCATCAAGTTCTTACTTCCAATCCCTTTTCTGTTATGGGCAATTCGTGGTATTTTGATTACGGTTGATGCCATCATATGACACCTACACTTGGACTCTTGACCGATGCGTATCATGTGTCTTCTTCATTGCTTATACATACTGCTAATGGAAGTCGCATGGATATCACTCATTCAGGATCTGTATCTCTACCACTTATATCCCTTCCTAATACTTATTGGATTCCTCAGTTTGACTTTAAATCTTGTATGAGTTGGCCAACTAGTTGAACAAGGATTTACTGTTACTTTTTTTTTCTTTTGGCGTGCAGGTTCAGGATCCACGTACGGGTCAAATTCTTGGGACATGTCGAAAAGTGGGTCAGCTATTTGTGGTACAATCTTTGAAAGTTCCTCATAGTAATTTCTCTGCTACTACTACTTATACCCCTCTTACTACCCTACATTCCCCATGTCTTCAATAGCATATTCGTATTGGTCATGCATCTTCCTCTAATATTAAGTCTTTCGTTACTAAGGGTCATTTGGGTTCTACTCGTTTCGAGTAATTTGATTGCTTACACTGTCATTTGAAAAAACAACTAGACTTATCTTTTTTTAAAAAAATGTCGGTCCTTTCCCTATTCCCTTTATGAGTGGGTTTCATTATTATGTCATTTTCATAGATGATTACTCCCGTTATACATGGATATATTTTTTGAAACACCGCTTAGAATTACCTCAGACATACATCCAATTTGCCCAAATGATTATAACTCAATTTTCTTGTCCCATACAAACCCTCATTACTGATAATTGCCTTGAATATAAAGATTCTACCTTGTTAAGTTTTCTCTCTACTCAAAGTACATTGATTCAGCATTCCTATCTATACACCTCCCAAAAAAATGGTGAAGCTGCGCGCAAACATTCTAGATACTGTTTGTGCGTCCCTTTTGTCTACCCCTTGTTCTGATAGGTTTTAGAGGAAAACTGTCATCACTGCTGTCTATACAATAAATCGTATTTCATCACCTTTCCTCCATAATAATACCCCTTTTTGAGTGTCTATATGGTCAGCCACCCGATTATAGTACCATTCGTCCGTTCGATGGTGTCAATTTTGTCCTTATCCCTCCGCATGAATGTTCCAAATTGGAACCTCATGTGCATTTATGTTGTCTTCTTCGTTATGGGGTAGAGCATAAAGGTTATTGGCTTTGGGATCCGATCTCTAAACGGTTGTATATATCTCGTGATGTTACCTTTTGGGAGAGTACCATGTTTTCCACCGTGTCTAAATTTTATGTCTCATCTATTTCTGGTTCACCTTTTTTTCTGTCGGCATGTCCTCCCTTGTTTCTTAATCCTGACCCTATGACTCCATCTATGCCTTCAGATTTTGTTTCAGTTGGGAACTCTGATCCACCTCCAATTGAGGCTTTTATTCCACCTCTAGTTGAGGCTCCTGATCCACCTCCGACCTTGTCTCCAGATGCTGATCCGTCTGTGGTCCCTGGACCTGTCATACCTCGTCAATCACATCGAGTAAGTCACCGTCCTACTCATTTGCGTGATTATCATTGTTACTCTGCCATATTATCTCATCATGAGCCTAAATCATTTCGTGAGGTAAGTGCTAATCCATTGTGGCAGCAAGTTATGACTGAGAAATTGCAGGCTATGACTGAGAAATTGCAGGCTCTGACAAAGACCCACACTTGGGATTTAGTGGATTTGCTTTATGGAAAGACACCTATTGGGTGCAAGTGGATTTTCAAAATCAAAACTAATTCTGATGGTTTCGTTGAGCACTACAAGGCATGTTTGATGGTTAAGGGTTATTATCACGAATGTGGAGTTGACTATGATGAGACTTTTGCCCCTATTGTTCGTCCCACTACTGTTCGTTGCCTTCTTGCTGTTGTTGTTGTTCGTCAGTGGTCCTTTCTTCATTTAGATGTCAAGAATGCATTCTTACATGGCACTTTGTCTGAAGAAGTTTATATGACTCCTCCTCCATGTTTCCCGTCTTCTGGAAAGATTTTTCGCTTACGCCGTGCTTTATATGGGTTGAAGCAGGACCCTCTGGTCTAGTATACCACATTTAGCTCTGCACTCTTGAAGTTTAGTTTTACCACGTACACCTACAATTCCGGATTCTTTCTTCGTCGCTCTTCATCAGGGATAGTTATCCTCTTACTTTATGTTGATGATATGATCATCACGGGAGATGATACGTTTGATATTTCTGATCTACAGGCATATCCTAGACAGTAATTAGAGATGAAGAAATTGGGTCCCCTTTGTTACTTTTTTAGACTTGAGGTCTCTGATTCTCCCAATGGTTTCTTTTTGTTTCAGGTTAAGTATGCCTCCGATCTTATTTCTCGAGCTGGTCTCACAGATTGTCAGGTAACCTCTACACCACTTGCCTATGACGTTCGACTTACAACTCATAATAGTTCTCTCCTTGATGATCCTACCTTATATCGTCAGATTGTTGGAAATTTGATCTATTTGACTGTTATTAGACCTGATATTGCTCATGCAGTGCATATTATGAGTCAGTTCATGGCTGCTTCGAGGACCTCTCACCACTTTGCCATCTTACATATTCTTCACTATGTGAAAGGTACTCTTCTGCATGGTTTACATTTGTCATCTCACTTCTCTTTGATACTCAGTGGTTACTGATGTTGATTGGGCTGAGAACCCTACCGATCGTTGTTCGACCACTGGTTTCTACTTTTTCTTGGGTGATTCTCTTATCTCTTGGCTCAGCAAGAAGTATACTTTGGTTTCTCAATTGATAGCTGACTCAAAGTATCGTACTCTTGCTGACTCTACATCAGAACTTTTGTGGCATCGTCGACTACTCACTAACCTTGGTGCCCCTGCAGCTATCTTCTACGG